TATTATTTATTTATAAGCTGTAAATATATTAATATTATATTATATTGTCATTTAAACGTAAACCTCGTAAATGCGAATTATATAACTGCTCTATGAAACACAAACAAAATAATGTTCAAGCCTTTTCTTTTGGAAAAGATTTCCTGGTATAATGATCTGCCATTTGAAGTAAAGTTGTTGTTGTTGGTTTAAGTTATTGTGAGTCTAAGTATATACGAAACTATTCTAAATAATTTTGCTGTCAAAAATGCCAGCAATGGTTCTGCTTTGAGTTTATTAGCCCCCCGTTGGGGCGTCTTACAAATGCGTCTATTGTTTTTTGTCTGCGTCCATGTTGCAGCTACATTGCGTGGTATTGTTGTTGTTGTTGTTGGTGCTGTTGCTGGGAACAAGTTGCTGGCTAACTGGGCAACAGCAGTTCGTTGTTGCTGTCCGCTGGGCGTGAGTTTGCACTATTATCAAATTAAAAGCATTGCCGCTTATTGGTCAGTTAATTGGAAGATCTGTAATTTGATACTGGGTAACGTGTTGCTTATCACAGCTCTCGTTGTTGTGGCTCATTGTGGTGTTTGTATTTGTACAATTATCTTGTTAGCTGATCGACAACTGTAACGGATTGCCATTTAGCCATGGCCCATAGCCCACAACCCGCAACCCACAGCCCAGAGCCAACAGCTCATCATCTATAACCCATGATGAGTACTACAACTACAACTACAACTACTACCAGCCACACTTCGATGCCACTCCGGGCATCTAGCTCGGCATTTATATGTTTTCCACTGCTGTCGGCCAGCGCTTGACTCGTCACTACTAAACACCTGCTTATTTGCGCATAAATTTTCGATAGAAATGCTCATATTTATTGAAAATACTTGTACTTATAAAATGGCATATAATTGCGCTGTGCTGTGTGTGTTTGTGTGTGTGTGTGTGAATATGTGTGTTAGGGGGGTGCAGCGCTGCCCGCAAGCAATATGGCCAGTTTCTCACCTTTAGAAACCGACCAGCAGTCGCAGATGGCGAGTCAAGCAAAGTTAAAAAAAAAAAAAAATAATAATAATAAAAATAAAATTATGATGCCAGAGGTTGCCTCTG